ACAAAACCAGGGCTCCTAGGAGAAAAACACGCATTTCTACCACCGCATAAAAAGAAACCCTGGTTATTGGTCAGTGCTCAGCAGATGTCGGGGAAACTCTCCGGGCTACCCAAATAAGCCCCTCTGAGCACGATTTTACTTGGTGGGCTCTGAACACTAAAATATTCCCACTGTTTAGGTGGTAGTGATGAGATAGGCTGGTATAGACACTGGAACAGAATCTTGTTAAAAACAGTTCACAAAACACCCAGACATACAGTCGGGGCAAATTTACCCTGAAATACGGCGACCACACAGAGCATCGAAAACCGTTGTGTCGGAAGTGTCGTCTGGTTTTCCAAGGCCAGAGAAAAGGTGGGGGGGGGGGCGGCCTGGACCTGCTGCCGCTGAGATGGTTCCTTGGAGGCGGAGATGAGATCGGACAAACCATCGGGGTTATTAACACGACTTCAAATTCGATCCACAACTAGGCTGTGAACACCCCAAAGGCTGGCCCCTCCCCACCACCTCCCTGCCCCTGGGACGGCGGTGGGCCCGGGACAGCAGGTGGCTCCGCTGGCACCAGGTCTGAGTGCTCCAGAGGGGGCCCGCCCCGTGCTTCCTGTTCCCAGAGCGGGAGCCTCCTCTGCTCGTCAGGAATGGGTTCTGGCGCCGGAGGACACCAGGCTCCGCGCCTTAGTGACCCGGATCGGATGCAACGCAGGGGAGGAAACGGGTGTTCTAGAACTTTCCTCTACTTACTAAGGAAGGGCCCCATGGAACATGGCTGGGGTTGAGTTTGGACGGCTGACCCGAGCCGTTCTTGTCAATGAGGAGAAGCCCCGCAGACCCCTCAGCACCCCAGGGAGCAAAGAGAAGGGGGTGTCGCTTTGACCAGATCCCTCTCGGGCCCTGGGCCCGGCTAACCCTGCGGCGCCTGCAGGCAGAACGAGGACCCAGCTGGTCTGTGCTCACAGCCTCACGCTGGGTGGGAGGCTCCAAACCCGGAAACCAAGTGCCTCCAAAGTGAGCGGACCCTCGGCTCAGCTCACCCCATCGAGGCTGAGCGACCCGGCCACCTCTGTGCACCCGGGTCCCTTTCAAAGTGACCGTGTTGCCCTAAAGCTCATTCCAACCCTGAAGAGAAGGGAGCTGGAAATAGTATAAAATAGAAAAGAATAAGAAAGAAAAGAAAACCTGAAAAACCTTCTTGCTGTTCCCAATGGGAATTCCTAAAATTACTAACACGCAAAACAAATATTCTTATGAATCGGAAAGGCCCGACCGACCAGAACAAAGGTTTGCAGGAGAGAAGAGACGTCTCCTCCTCCTCACACTCGGAGTTGTAAGCTCTCAGGAGACCCGGGGTCTCCACTGCCCCCCGAGAACCGGAGCCGTATCCCCGCTTGCTCTCCAGCCCTTCAGATCCTCCAGCGCTCTGCTCCGCGTGGGCAGTGGCTTCTGCTCGCCCAGCACCTCCTGGACAGACGGACAGACGACCTGCTGTCCCTTCCTGGTGGCTCCAGCCCGACATTGTCCTGACCTCACTCCTACCTGAGCTTTGGGGACCAGGTCACCAAGACGAGACACAGCGGAAGTGGTCCACTTACCCAGTTCTGATGGGTAGACCAGAAATTAAATTCAGCGCCGCTCAACCAGAGGAAGTCGGTTACTCGCGTGCACACAGGTCATGCTCAGGTTGTCCGAAAAGCAAAGACGGAAAACGTGCCCTTTTGAACATCCGTGTCCTCTGGGAGCACAGCTGTCCCCTCTGCCATCAGTGCGCAGGACGGGCCATCCAAGCCGCCTCACAGGAAGCCTGGCCCCTCCCCGCGTCGGGCCTGTCCTGGGCTGGACGGACTACATCCCCAGGCGGTCGTGTCACGGCAGTCCTGGCCACCTCCTGCGTGCCAGGACACAGTGTCCACCAGAGATCCTGCCCTGGAGGGACCAGGGTGATGTCCCTGCTAGTCTCGGAAACCTCCGCCCCGGGCGCCTGTCCTCCGGGCCCAGCCCTGTGAGCAGAAGAGCCCCGCTGGGTGGAGGAGGCCAGGGCGGCCCGGAGGAGAGGGCAGCTGGAGCGGGTGCCAGAGGGTCGGGAGGCCAGGACGCAGAGGCCTAGGGAAACCCTGTCTCGAGAAAGCGAAGGGCTAGGTGATGGGCTGCTTATTGGCAAAGGACATTTCATCTCTGTGAAATCTCACCCAGGCAGCCAAAACGGACAAGGGAAGAAATAAAGGTCAGAGAGTTGGAGGCTCCACGCGTCCTCCACCTGCCTTACGCCCGACACACAACTCTAATCACGGCTGGGTCTGTGAGCCACCCCGCGAGGGCGACGAGCAGTCACAGCGCAGACCCCACCACCCAGCAAAGGACACCACCCAGAGGCCAGCGCGGGGATGCTCAGGATAGTCACCTGGGGAAAAAGACACGTATTGCTTTCATGCTACATTGATTCTGATGATGGGACTCCGCGAGCAGGTGACCTCATGGACCTCAAAGGGCGACAAGACGTTTGTCATTGTCACACCACACCCTACCTACCCGGACAGGGATGCATGACCTTGACACGCACAGGACATCAACAGAGAAGAGGAAGAACAGAAAGGACTGGAATGGTGGGCCAGGGCTACCCACGTACACACTGAATGCTCTTCCTGCCACAGTAACGTGTCCTTCATAGACACACTGAACAACTCATATTGGTTCTAGAGACAGAAAAGCGTGAGTTATACACCTATTTGAGTATTTAATTCACAACTGTTTCTTAACACCACAAAATAGAAACCTGACAGACGTGAGCCACGGCGTCTGCTATGGAATGATAAACCAGTGCACGGGAGCTGCACAGGGGAACTGCACGGGGCAGCTCTACAGGGAGCTGCATGGAGGAGCTGCACGCGGGAACTGCACAGGGAGCTGCATGGAGGAGCTGCACGCGGGAACTGCACAGGGAGCTGCATGGAGGAGCTGCACGCGGGAGCTGCACGCGGGAACTGCACGGGGGAGCTCTACAGGGAGCTGCATGGAGGAGCTGCACGCGGGAGCTGCACGCGGGAGATGCACGTGGGAACTGCACGCGGGAACTGCACGGGGGAGCTCTACAGGGAGCTGCACGGAGGAACTGCTCGGGGGAGCTCTACAGGGAGCTGCATGGGGAGCGAACTGCACAGGGAGCTGCATGGAGGAGCTGCACGCAGGAACTGCACGCGGGAGCTGCACGGGGGAGCTCTACAGGGAGCTGCACGGAGGAACTGCTCGGGGGAGCTCTACAGGGAGCTGCATGGGGAGCTGCACGCGGGAACTGCACAGGGAGCTGCATGGAGGAGCTGCACACGGGAACTGCACGCGGGAGCTGCACGTGGGAGCTGCACTATGTTCAAGTGGGACGTTTCTAACGAAACGGTACATCTGTTTGTTTCAAAAAATACTTATGTCTGTTGTTACAAAATTCTACACTATGTTCAATAAATAAATAATAAAGTGGTTTTTTAAAAGTATGAAATGTAAACTTTGTTGCCCTTCCCAGCACGCACGGTTTCAAAGTTGCTCGGGCTGTGCCAGGGCTCTGGGGAGTGCATCCAGTCCCCAGCAGGGGGCCCGCCACCACGTCCGTCGCTGTGTTGCTGAAAAGGCGCTTCTACACCCTAACAGGATCCCAGGACCTGCCGTCGGGGGGATACCACCTGATGGGGAAAGCTCGACTCCAGGGCCAAGGGGACAGGCCGGGGACAGGCCAGGGACACGTCGTGACCGCAACAAACCGGGATTCTGATAACATGAACATGAGAATGAAATGTGACCCACGCGTTCCCTTAGCAAGTCATGTTATTGTCTCGTCAACCAGCCTCTGTCCTGGCACTCGGGGGTCACAGAACTCGAGCCACTCGGCAGGTGGCCCTGCGCCCTGACTGGCAATGAGCAGTGCGTCCCCCTCCGAGAGGCTGGCTGTGTGCCGTGGGGCTCGGGGCGGTGTCCGGTCTTCCTCCTGGACGTGGGGCCGCGTGCTCCCAGGGTCTGGCCCCACCACGCGATGGATTCCCTGCACCTCTCTCCGCCCACTTCCAGATTGTCGCCTTCTCTTTTCAGGCCGTGGGGATGCCTTGTTTGGGGAACATACCAAAGACAGCTCCTGAAATTTCCCGTGACAGTCAGGACTCGGCACGTTCAAGGAGGAAGAGACTCAGCTGCTCACTAGCAACGACTGTGATGACGCGTCATGGGACCTCCGAGCCCAAAGAGTCTCCCAGCGGGGCGGCACCCAGGACCCACGGGGCGCGCTGCGGCCTTTCAGACGACGGCGTCGATATGGGCCCGCAGGTGACCTCGGGCAACAGGCTTCCGTCGCCGTCTTCCAGGCTGGTGGATATCTGAGCTGAATCGCCTGCTCGTAGCCAGAGATAGTTTTCATTGACATCTACCAATACAAGCCCTGGAGGGCGCTGGAAGTTTCCATGAACACTCGCTGGAATCTCCACGGACCGGCTCTTCGAAGGGTGGCCCAGGGTCTGAGCAGGAGACCACCTCCCTGCGTGATCAGATCCAGGGCAGCGTTCGAAGGTGCCCCGCGTGGGGAAGTGGGGTTCCAAAGCAGTGATGGGCCCTTCGTAATTTTTTCTAAACACACCAAGGGCTACTAGGTCCGGGGCCTCCTGGGGGCTGGTAGAGGTAAGAAATAGGAGGGTTACATGAGTTCTCCAAAAATACAGACATTGCATGTATAAAGGATTGTACAGTGACCAGGGCCACGCCTCCGGCCAGGGATGGGCCGACTCCCAACCGCGTCCCGCTGGGAGCTCACGGAAGCCATGATGAGACCTGCGGTGAGGACAGAGGGAAACAGCTTTGTCTGAGAAATCGGGAAATTGTTCGGGGAAGGATTGTCGAGAAGCGCTCCCAGAACCATGGAGGGCCTGTTTCTCCGCCCGCGGCTCTGTGGCAGATCCGCAAGGGGGCTCCGCAAAGCAGCTCCGTGTGCAGGCGGCGTCTGCTGGCCCGGCGGAGCTCTGAGCAGCCCTGGGCCGCTCCCTACGGCTCGTCGAACAGCTGAAGGTCCAAGCGGACCACGATCTCTCCCGTGGGGACTTCGTGCAGCAGGAGACACTTGGTCACCGGGCCCTTGGAACCCTGGTCCTTCTTGATGTCGGCCACGCGGATCTCCGTCCGGCCCAGAAAATCTGAAAGGAGAACAGACAGACCCAGCTCAGAGCGAGGACCCCTCCCTGCACACGGGGTCTGGCACGGTCACTCTGCCCCCTTCGAAAGGGGTTGGGTGCGTTCTCAGGAATCCACCACCTGCGTGACCAGCGGAGCAAAAGGGAAAGGACACAGAGCGGGCAGAGGAGTCCAGAGGAGGCGCTCAAACGCGGACCAGGCTCGCCCACACCCGGGGACCGAGCGCAGCCAGCTGCCCGGGAGGCGGTGCCCAACCAGGAGTCCTGGCGCCGCACAATCTGCCGTGTACGTGAAACTTCAAGAAATCCCGGAAGAAAGACGACGACAGCTGGGACAAAAGCAGGACGGTCCTTCCTCCCCGGGGCTGTCACAGCAGCACGCCCCGTGATGCCGCAGCACCTCGTCGCGTGTCGAGCGTCCGCGCGAGAACGGGTGCGAGCCCGCCTGCAGGTGTCCCCGCTGACGGTGTTCAGGCCACCGACCCTGCGTCCACTCATTCGACAAGGATGCTTGGCGACACGCTCTGACCCAGCTGCTCTGCACAGGAAGTGGCCTTCGAGCGAGGCTCCCGTTTGAAACCCGGGACAGACACGGGTCCATTCGGCCCAGGGTGCGTGCCGTGGGAATGATCTCCAAGGCAAGAACAGCACACGGGTTTTCAACGTACACCCTAGTGAGTCGTCACTGTGTCTGGTATTTCCCTGTTTAGAGAGAAACCCAATTTAGCCCTGGCCAGTCGGGCTCGGTGGGGAGGGCGTCGGCCCGCAGACTGAAGGGTCTCAGGTTCGATTCCCAGCCAGGGGCATGTACCTGGGCTGCAGGTTCAATCCCAGGCCCCGGCTGGGGTTGTACAGGAGGCAACCAATTGATCTCTCTCTCACAGTGATGTTTCTCTTCTCTCTCTCTCTCCCTCCCTTCCACTCTCTCTAAGAAAAGCAATGTAGCGCCGCAGGTGAGGCTCAGTGGATTGAGCATCATCCCAGGGACTGAGAGGTCCTGGTTTGATTCCTGGTCAGGACACATGCCCGGGTTGCCGGCTCGATCCCTGGTGGGGGGCGTGCAGGGGGCAGCTGATTGATGTTTCTCTCTCTCTCCCCCTTCCTTTCTCTCTAAAATAATCAGTAAAAATATATAATTTTAAAAAGCACTGGAAAAATATCCTCAGGCGAGGATTAAAAAAGAAAGAAACCCAGGTTGACCTCAAACCTTCACCCGTCAGAATGAACGGAGACAGTGAGGCAGGCAGTGGTGAGAGGCCCAGATGGAGCCAGAGTCCTGTCCCGCTCCGATGTCCAGCCAGCTGCTGTCCTTGGGCAACAACCCGTAGCATCCAACCGACACTGAGAAAATTTCTATAAAAGTCCTAAAACAGCAGCTGAAGCCTTTGTATAGATCATGTCGACATCAGACCCTCACGCCTAGCCCGTAATTACCCTCCTTTGAATATCATGAAATTGAGACTGCAACCTGCAGACTTACCTTCTGGTGTTTATTGGCTTGAGGAAGACAGATTGCTTCTTAGAATCATTGGCCAAACCCTTTCTTTCCCAGGCTCAGGGCAGAAACAGAAAACTGGCTGCAGGAACAAGGCAGCCAGCACAATCCTATCCCCTCGACTGACCAGACGTGGCCGCAGGGCACCGACTGACCCTGCCACCTGTTGGGGCTGACCTTCTTCTCAGCTGGCTAGTTTTATCCATTGTCGCCGTGGCTTTGGGCCAAGGACTAATGGCCTGGGCGGAGACTTTGGGTACCCCTACTTACAGTCACCTGCTTTGGGGAAGCACAGGACACGGTGTTTGTCTAGGGGGGCTGGCCCCCTTGAGACTCAGCATGTGTTGTCACCAGCGCGGGGGTGCCCGGCAGAGGTGCAGCCTCTTTCTCAGGGAGGCTCTGGTCCTGTCCCATCTCCTCGGGGGGGGGGGGGGCACGGGCCATCGTGTGCAGCGTGGCAGCGTGTTTCCAGGTCAGAGGCGCTCACCCAGGAGAGCGCGTGGCGGGGAGGGAAGGACTCACCATCTGGAGAGAACTGGTCCCTCTCGAACACAGTGATGCACAGCACCTCCTGCTCCAGGTCTCTGATGAAGAACTGGCAGTTGGAATTCCACTTGGGGTTCAGTGTGTCCTGCATGGTCTTGGTGATGTGGCACTGGGAGCCCATGGTCACCTCGCAGTACGGGTTGCTCTTCCCTGCAGTGGACAGACCTGCTCGACTCCTGCCGGGGCGGGCTCTCCAGGGCGCGAGCGCGGGGTGACCCCCCTGCCACGGCCACAGGTGATCAGTGGCATAGGATGGGGAATCCGGGAGAAACTGCCACAACTCAGCACCGCGCTGAAACTAGGAACAAGCCATCGGACGAGTGGCCTGGCCTCCCCTCGCTCCCTCCGTAGATCGCGGCACGGCTGCCGGGAGACGGCAGCCCCTCGGACCCCTCGAAGAGCAGAGCAGTGGGAAGGATTTAAGGAAAGAACAAAAAACTCGCCCTGGCCAGTGTGGCTCAGTGGTTGGAGCACCAGCCTAGGGACCGAAGGGTCACGGGTTCAAGTCTGGTCAAGGGCATGTACCTGGGTTGTAGGTTTGATCCCTGGCCCTGGTCAGGGTCATGCGGGAATCACCCAATCAGTGTGTCTCTCTCACATCCATGTTGCTCTCTCTCGCCCTCCCTCCACTCTCTCGAACAAGCAGTTCTGGAAGGAACGTGGGGGGATGGGAATTCCCCACTGATCCAGGGCTGGGGGCCCAGCGCGCTGGAGGCTCCCTGGGTCCTTACCGTGGGACCGGCAGGGCTTCAGCTCGATGCCTTCAACAACGTTCACCATCAGCCTTCCGATCCCCGTCGCCCTTTGGGAACGGACTGCAGCAGCAGAAAGCACACGGAACGCCCGTGTTAACGCTGGACACCCGCCCACCCGTTGGCCCTGCACCGCGTCATGTACCTGCCCCACTGAAGGACACCCCCCCTTATACTCCTGCTTCTTGGCTACTGTGTGCCCTGCCCCCATCCTGCACCCCATCCCCCCACTGTCTCGGGCCTGTCCCCCAGGCCCCCTTCAACTGTAAGGACCCCGCGCCCCACTGGCTCTCTGCAGACCCCAGGAGGCGGCCGCCCGCCGGGCAGCGTCCGTACCCAGGTACGCCTTCTCCCGCTTCTTCTTCTCCGTCTCTATGTAGAGCTCGGAAGCGGCTTTGATCTTCTGCACCCAGGTGGTCCTGGCAAAGCAAAGGAGAGCGAGGTCAGACAGAGCTCGGACAGGCTCCGCGTCTGCGCCGAGCTCCCAGGACTCTGACAACAGAGGCTCGGGAAGGGAAGCCCTGTCTTAGCTCCCGTGATGCGAACAGTTGTTCCTCCCGCTAATAAAAAGGCAGGCGTGACCTTGTTGTTGAGGATCCCGAGACCTCCTCGGTGTCCCCGTGGAAGAAAACTGAGAGGCGATGAGGGCACCTCTCACTCCCTTCCTGGGAAGCATCCCGTTACCGGCCAACCCAGCACGGCCAGAGGCTCTCGCTTACGAAGCCATCGGAGGGAAGAAGGAAGAGCAGTCCCAGGCCAGGCCCGCTTCCACGGAGCACACAGCTGGCAAGCGCCTCACTGTGACACCCCCGCCGTCCTCCGGGGACCACATGAGCCCCACTGCAGCCAGGTTCCTCGCTGGGCACCCATGCTGTCAGCCTGTACCAAGCTCACCCTCAGGAAAGGATGTTTCCCGGGCTCCAGGGCAGAGCCTTGAAGACATGATGGAGGAAAATGTCCAGGCTCTAGGCTCCAGAACGTCTGTCCACGTGAGCGGCTGAGGAGAGCGGGTTTGGGTATCCTGTTAACCCCCAAGTCGCTTTCCTCTTGCTTTCTGCCACCTGGGAAACCTGAGATGCTCCATGTATCTCAAAGACTGCTGAATATTTCCACCCCCCTCCATTCTCAAGAAAAATCCGTTTCCATTCCTTTTAGTTTGAAATATTCAGGCCACGTGTCTGACTTTCGCAAGGTTCTAGAAGGAAGTATTAAGACCTCCCCGTCCTCTCCAGCCAGAGATCATGGCATTGCAGCTGGGGAAATGTTGGGGCCTGCTGACCAATTGTATGTCCCACCTGGTCCTGCACCTGGCGGAACCCAGGTCCCAGTGCCAGGGGGTGGCAGGTCTTACCTTTCGTTTATGCTTTCTGCTCGGAGGGTGTAGACGCGGTCGATGTGGGAGATGTGGAAGATGGGTTCATCCCCAGATGGGTCGGTGGGTAATTTTACTAGAACCTCATTTAGGAAAATAGGCTGAAAAACAATGTACAGGCGTTATAAAACCAGCTGGGTGTCTGTGTGTTCCAGTTAACTCTGTGTGCACATGTGTGTGATCCAGTAAACTCTGTGTGCGCATGTGTGTGATCCAGTAAACTCTGTGTGTGCATGTGTGTGTGTGTGGTCCAGGAAACTGTGTGTGTGTGTGTGTGTGTTCCAGGAAAATCAGTGTGTGTGCATGTGTGTGTGATCCAGGAAACTCTGTGTGTGTGATCCAGTAAACTCTGTGTGTGTGTGCACGCGCACGTGTGTGTGATCCAGGAAACTCAGTGTGAGTGCATGTGTGTGTGATCCACTGTGTGTGTACGTGCATGTGTGTGTGTGATCCAGGAAACTCTGTGTGCGCATGTGTGTGTGTGATCTAGGAAACTCAGTTCATGTGCGTGTGCATGTGTGTGCATGTGATATGTGTGTTCTGGGACACTATTGGAATCATGATTTTGTGTTAATACCAACTTTCACATGTAGTAAAGTATAAATATGAATCCCCCATTTTGCAGGTATTTTAAGTCCTTAGGAGCAAGCACTGGCCTGCTCCTCCTGCAGCTACCCTACTCAGCTGACAGCCTCCGCCTCACCTCCACGCAACTCCCACCAGAGTTTCATACACGGTTGCTGGTGACAATCTACATACGTACATCGTTCTTTTTTCTAAAATACGGCTAACCTTTGCTTCAGAGAAAATTCATCTGTCAGAACACTCCACCAGAGACAAGCTTAGAAAAACAATATCCCCTGACAAGAAGACACACAAGCTCTGGCCAGTGTGACTCAGTGGTTAGAGCGCCGGTCCACGCACTGAAGGGTCACAGGTTCGATCGCATGTTCCTGGGTTGCAGGTTCGAGCCGGGGCCACAACCAGGGCACATGCAGGAGGCAACCAATCCATGGAGGAGGAGGAGGAGGGGGAGGAGGCGGCACACAAACCCAGCAGTGCACACAGGAGCAGACTGAAAATAACTTAGGGAACTCCACGCTGGGACTGTATAGATTGGCTGGGAAAGGTGGGGGACAGAAATGTCTCCAGCTACCCTGAGAAGTCTGTAGGGGACCTGGGAATGCTCGGGAGGTGAGTACCTTTCCCACGCCTGCCTCATCTGCACACCTGACCGGAGCCCCCGGGCAGGGTGTGCCTTCCTCACGCCTGGGAGATGGGCAGCAGCTGTTAGGCAACTAACAGATGTTCATCAACCAAACTGAGTGGAGTCCCTTCCTGGCAACACAGGCCCTCGGAGATGCTGCGGGTTTGGTCCCAGACCACTACAATGAAGTGTTTTGTTTCTCTTTTATTCCTCACTAGAGGAATTTTTTCCATTTATCATCAGATAGACAGAAACAGACAGAAACATCGATGTGCTAGAGCCACATTGACTGGTTGCCTCCCACACGACCCGACCAGGGCCGGGGACAAACCACCACCGAGGTACATGCCCTTAACTAGAATCGAACCCACGACTCATTGGTCCGAGGGCCGACGCTCTAGCCGCTGAGCCAAATCGGCCAGGGCCCCCCGCAATAAAGTTGTCATCTTTTTGCTGGTGGAGGTTCTTGCCTTCAGTTTGTAAAAAACACAATTTCTGCAGAGCCCAACAAAACGAAGCTCAGGGAAGCGAGGCGAGCCTGCACTGGAAGCGACCCTGGCCTCCTTCTCCGCGCCCGGCCCAGCCCCGCCGGCGCTGACTGCTCCTGGAAACGCCCCCAGCAGCCGGTGCGAGGCCGCCTCACCGTCTTGTACATTCTGTACTGCAGGTTGGACTTGGGGCTGAAGACCTTGTCGGAGCCGGAGGAGCCCAGCGGCTTCAGGACCTGGGTGAGCAGCAGGAAGTCGTTGAGCAGGAAGCCGTACAGCTCCTTGTTGCTCTTGGCCTTGTACAGCTTCCCGCTGTGCAGGAACTTGCGCGGCCCCAGGCAGTTGGTCACCGAGTTGAACACAAGTTGCTGAGAGAGGAAAACAAAACCCACAGAAGACATGACGGAGCTGGTGGGGTTTAGGCTCCGGGTTTCCCGCAGCTGCAGGCTCGGCTGCCTCCGAATCCGCAGCGGGGCCTCGGGGGCTCTGCAGCCCCGGCTCAACCCAAGGACCTTGAGGTTACCACGCCGAGCGAACCAAGTCGGAGGGAGTCAAGATCCGTGCGATTTCACTCGGCTGGGATATGAAGCCAAAAGCAACAAATAAACAAGACAAACAAAAACTCATAGACACAGACGCCAGTCCATGGCGGTGACCAGAGGGAAGGGGGGTGGGGTAGGACAGGGTAAAGGGGGTCAAATATGTGGTGACAGAAGAAGACTTGACTTTGGGTGGTGGGCACACAGTGCGATGTACAGATGATGTGTCATAAAATTGTACACTTGAAACCTATATAATCTTATTAACCAATATCACCCCAATGACTTTAATTTAAAAAAACGTTTAGCCCTGGCCAGTGTGGCTCAACAGTTAGAGTGTCGGCCCATGCACCAGAGGGTCATGGGTCCGATTCCCAGCCAAAGGCCTGTACCCGGGTTGCAGGTTCAATTCCTGCCCCGCATGCAAGAGGAATCAATGTCTTTTTGTCACATCATGTTTCTCTCCCTCTCTCCCCACACCCCCAACCACCCTTCCTCCATCCCTCCCTTCCACTCTCCCTAAAAATCAATGGGGAAAGAAAATACCCTTGGGTGAAGATTAACAACAAAAAACGTTTTAAAGTCCTGTTTGAAGGCCTTAAGCAGCAAACTCACTGGTGCTGAGTGACGCCTCAAAGCCAAGCAGAACGAACACTGTGTTGGTGCAAACTAACCTCGTCCGACACACTGGTCCTGAACATGAGAAGGGCAATGCTCCCCGGCCACTTCCAAACCTTAGAGATGGCCCTGAGGGCTAAAGCACAGCTCCGTCACCCCACTGGGCTCTGTCACCTCATGCTCTATCTTTCCCAACCCAGCTCCATCCTCTCACGCTCAATCATCCCACTGGGCTTGATCCTCTCATGCTCTATCCCCCTCCCCATTCTATCACCCACTGGTTCTATCATCTTGTGCTCTATCACCCCCCTGGGCTCTATACTCTGGCGCTCTATCACCCTACCAGGCCCTATCATCTCATGCTCGATCACACCCCGGCTCTATCATACCACTGGCTCTATCTCAGGTTCTGTATCACACCCCAGCTCTATAATCCCACTGGCTCTATCATCTTGTGCTCTATCACCCCCCCTGGGCTCCATACTCTGGCGCTCTATCACCCCACCAGGCCCTATCATCTCATGCTCTATCACACCCCCCAGCTCTATCATCCCACCGGCTCTATTATCTCGTGCTCTGTATCACACTCTGGCTCTATCATCCTGCTGGCTCTATCACCTTGTGCTCTATATCACACCCTGGCTCTATCCTCTCGTGCTCTATCATACCCCCTGGGATCTATCATCTCAGGTGAGCAGGTTCTGAAGGAGCAGAGGAAGACTAAGGCAGAAATAACCTCACGAAGGCCCCCTTTTTTGACAGCAGGGGGAGACTGAGGAAGAGAAAGGTCGCAGCTGTGCCCAGGCAGCAATATGGTCCAGGCAGGTGCCACAGTCCCCAGTGCTCACATTTGGGCTCACATTTGGGCCCGTGGGAGATGCTCCACACAGCAGCCTTCAAGGCCGAGGCTCTCTCCAGAACTACCAGCCATACAGACTCCCGAGGAGAGTACTGGTGAAGAGGTAATAGGTTTGCAACATGCACCCCAAGACAGGCGGGGGCCGCCCACTGCCTCTGCTGCGGGAGAAAGAATCAGCGGTGCCCTTGTGACCAGAGACCGACAGGCATCTGGAAGAGTGGCCGCTCCACCTCCCTCCCAGGTGCAAGGAGCAAGGGGGCCGCCAACCGCCACGAGGCTCCGAGCCCAGGCTCAGGCGGCCCCTCGGCTGGAGCCGTCAAAGGCTATTCTCCACCCTCCACAGAAGAACGGGGCCTGAGACCACTCCAGCCCTTGTTCTTGCCAAGAGCGAGGCCGAGTCGCCTGGGGACAACGGTCAAGAGAAGGCAACTTATCACGTAAGTGTGGTGCCACTGGTCGCCCTCCAAGGGCGGGGCCTCCACTGGCCGGGCTGACACCCAGCATGTATGAACTGGGAACAGACAAGAGTGTCCAAGGCAGCATCTAACTGAAACGGAGGCACTGGTGTGTGCCCGGAACAGGGGCAGGAGACAGAAGCCGCGTGACTGAGCACGTGTGGACAGAGCAGTAGCTGTGGCAATAGTGAGGAAAGACCGGTCACTGCAGGACAGTGGCCTATTTCAAAGAGGGTCTATGGGCCACAGAAATCAAATGACAGCGTTTATTTTATTTTTAATTTTTTTTTTCTTTATGATTTCAGAAAGAGGAAGGGAGAGGGAGAGAGAGAGAAACATCGATGAGAGAGAACAGCGATTGACCGCCTCCTGCACGCCCCCCACTGGGGATCGGGCCCACAACCTGGGCATATGCCTTGACCGGGAATCAAACCGGCGACCTCTTGGTACATGGGTCGATGCTCAACCACTGAGCCACACCAGCCATGCTATTCTTTTTTTTTTATCCTCTCCCGAGGACATTATTTTGTTGTTGTAGTTCAGATAGAGTGGGAGGAAGAGAGAGAGAAACATCAATGTGAAAGGGACACATCGAGTGGCTGCCACCCACACGACCAACCAGGGCCGGGGACAGACTGCAACCGAGGTACGTGCCCTTAGCGGGAACCGAACCCGGGTCTCTCTGGACCGCAGGCCGACGCTCTAACCGCTGAGCCAAACCGGCCAGGGCCGGCCATGCTGTTCTTAAAGCTTTAAGGTGAAGAGCCTCACTGGAGGCTGCAGGGGGCGGACTGCAGCCACGAGGCAGGGAGGGGCCTTTCTAGCGCACGTGGGCTGCGGCGGCCCTTCTGCCAGGCAGACCGAGGAGCTGGTCGGGTCCACTGTCTTCAGGATCCGGCAAACGCTGCTCGGATGAGACCTGGGCCTTCCTCACCCTGGTGGCAACTGGCCTCAAAGCCTTGCCACCCATCGCGCTCCGGGCCCCGCCGTCCTGCTCAGGCTGTGCCCTCCCCCGAAATGCCCTCCCCAGACTCTTTCCGAGACAGACAGCTTCATCCTTCAACACCCAGCCAAGTGTCACCTCCGACGCTTCCCTGAGTCCCTCCACGACTGTCCCCTCCTCCCGGAGTGTGTTCCCACAGCACTGGGCACTTAGGTCTGCGTGGTACCCCTCTAATTTTGCTGTGAATATTGGTTTGACCCTCAACTTCCTCCAGAACTGCAGGCTTCTTGAGAGGGCCGAGGTCACATCGTATTGACTTCCACGTCCTCGGTGTTTAGGGCTGAGCGGGCACATGGCAGGTGCTCAGTGCTTATTGAATGATGGAGGAATGAAGGAATGAACGAGGAATGAATGAATGAATGAACGAGGAATGAATGAGAAATGAATGAATGAATGAGGAATGAATGAATGAACGAGGAATGAATGAACGAACAAACGAATGAGTGAGCCAACCAAACGGTGAAAGCCCCTGACTGCATATCAGCACAGAATTCCAGCTCGGGATCCCGGTCCATCACCTTGGTGTCCACCGGCCTGTCTCCACACTTGCATCCCCACCCCACACTGAAGGGGGACAGGAGGGGGCAGGGAGGGGATCCCGGTCCATCACCTTGGAGTCCACCGGCCTGTCTCCACACTTGCATCCCCACCCCACACTGAAGGTGGACAGGAGGGGGCAGGGAGGGGATCCCGGTCCATCACCTTGGTGTCCACCGGCCTGTCTCCACACTTGCATCCCCACCCCACACTGAAGGTGGACAGGAGGGGGCAGGGAGGGGATCCCGGTCCATCACCTTGGTGTCCACCGGCCTGTCTCCACACTCGCATCCCCACCCACACTGAAGGTGGACAGGAGGGGGCAGGGAGGGGATCCCGGTCCATCACCTTGGTGTCCACCGGCCTGTCTCCACACTCGCATCCCCACCCCACACTGAAGGTGGACAGGAGGGGGCAGGGAGGGGATCCCGGTCCATCACCTTGGAGTCCACCGGCCTGTCTCCACACTCGCATCCCCACCCCACACTGAAGGTGGACGGGAGGGGGCAGGGAGGGGATCCCGGTCCATCACCTTGGTGTCCACCGGCCTGTCTCCACACTCGCATCCCCACCCACACTGAAGGTGGACAGGAGGGGGCAGGGAGGGGATCCCGGTCCATCACCTTGGAGTCCACCGGCCTGTCTCCACACTCGCATCCCCACCCACACTGAAGGTGGACAGGAGGGGGCAGGGAGGGGATCCCGGTCCATCACCTTGGTGTCCACCGGCCTGTCTCCACACTCGCATCCCCACCCCACACTGAAGGTGGACAGGAGGGGGCAGGGAGGGGATCCCGGTCCATCACCTTGGAGTCCACCGGCCTGTCTCCACACTCGCATCCCCACCCCACACTGAAGGTGGACAGGAGGGGGCAGGGAGGGGATCCCGGTCCATCACCTTGGAGTCCACCGGCCTGTCTCCACACTCGCATCCCCACCCCACACTGAAGGTGGACAGGAGGGGGCAGGGAGGGGATCCCGGTCCATCACCTTGGTGTCCACCGGCCTGTCTCCACACTCGCATCCCCACCCACACTGAAGGTAGACAGGAGGGGGCAGGGAGGGGATCCTGGTCCATCACCTTGGAGTCCACCGGCCTGTCTCCACACTCGCATCCCCACCCCACACTGAAGGTGGACAGGAGGGGGCAGGGAGGGGATCCCGGTCCATCACCTTGGTGTCCACCGGCCTGTCTCCACACTCGCATCCCCACCCACACTGAAGGTGGACAGGAGGGGGCAGGGAGGGGATCCCGGTCCATCACCTTGGTGTCCACCGGCCTGTCTCCACACTCGCATTCCCACCCCACACTGAAGGTGGACAGGAGGGGGCAGGGAGGGGATCCCGGTCTATCACCTTGGAGTCCACCGGCCTGTCTCCACACTCGCATCCCCACCCCACACTGAAGGTGGACAGGAGGGGGCAGGGAGGGGATCCCGGTCCATCACCTTGGTGTCCACCGGCCTGTCTCCACACTCGCATCCCCACCCACACTGAAGGTGGACAGGAGGGGGCAGGGAGGGGATCCCGGTCCATCACCTTGGAGTCCACCGGCCTGTCTCCACACTCGCATCCCCACCCCACACTGAAGGTGGACGGGAGGGGGCAGGGAGGGGATCCCGGTCCATCACCTTGGAGTCCACCGGCCTGTCTCCACACTCGCATCCCCACCCCACACTGAAGGGGGATGGGAGGGGGCAGGGAGGGGATCCCGGTCCATCACCTTGGAGTCCACAGGCCTGTCTCCACACTCGCATCCCCACCCCAGACTGAAGGTGGACGGGAGGGGCAGGGAGGGGATCCCGGTCCATCACCTTGGAGTCCACAGGCCTGTCTCCACACTCGCATCCCCACCCCACACTGAAGGTGGACGGGAGGGGCAGGGAGGGGATCCTGGTCCATCACCTTGGAGTCCACCGGCCTGTCTCCACACTCGCATCCCCACCCCACACTGAAGGTGGACGGGAGGGGCAGGGAGGGGATCCCGGTCCATCACCTTGGAGTCCACCGGCCTGTCTCCACACTCGCATCCCCACCCCACACTGAAGGGGGACGGGAGGGGCAGGGAGGGGATCCCGGTCCATCACCTTGGAGTCCACAGGCCTGTCTCCACACTCGCATCCCCACCCCACACTGAAGGGGGACGGGAGGGGCAGGGAGGGACTGGTGGTGCCGTCCTCAGGCAGTGACAGCCTTTGAAGCCCCAGGAAAGCGGGTGAGGGAGGCACACTCGGCCGGGGCACTTTGGTGAACCCTAGTGAGTGGTGTGCACATGTGGGTATGTGTGTGCGTGTACGTGCGTGCGTGTGCGTGCGTGTACATGTGTACACGCATGTGTGTACATGCGTGCATGACTAACACTGAAGGGAGGTGAGGGACAGGAGAAAGTGAAGTACTAGGGGAGAGACGTCTGCTTCTGGGAGTATGGGAGACTAGATACTCTGACCACCCAGTGAAAGATTTTAAAACCGAGTGAAATATAAAAGTACACTTTTTAGCCCTGACCAGTTTGACTCAGCGGTTAGAGCGTCAGCCCTCAGACTGAGGGTCATGAGTTCTACTTCCAGTCAAGGGCACGAACCTGGGTTGCAAGTTCGATCCCCGGCCCCGGTTGGGGTTGTGCCGAGGCAGCCAATCGATGCCCCCCCTCCCCTGACTATATCTAAAAATCAATGGGAAAATATCCTCAGGTGAGGATTAACAAGAACAAAAATGCGCTTTTTAAATGTAAGCAAGGTGGTAAAATAAAGATAAGACATTTTCAGGGACCAAACACAGAAAGAAAATGCAGACTGTGGATGATAAACAAGCCCTAGGCCGGCTCTGCCCTGCGAGTCTGGGGTCTTGGACCCGGCGTGGGCAGTGGCCACGTGGGCTGCGGGCAGGTGCCGATCCAGGGCCCGTGTGACGGGGAGCTAACGGGAACTCGCGCAAGGGGGCCCAGAGGAGGGACGCAAACGCAAGCACAGCGCGGACGAGCACGGAGACGGGATGTTGTGGACCCCAATGAGGGTGGACGGAAAGGGTCCTAAGGACGTAGCTCTCACACAGGGTGAAACCACACTTCACACACAGCTAGTGTGGCCCCCAAACCCTCTCTACTTAAATTAGGGTGATCCTCATCGCAATCCTCTCGGAAGGAGTGCCACTTCGGACCGAGGAACACTGAGCTCACACCCAAAGGTCACGGGGAGAGAAGCCGCCTGTGTGCCGGCCGGGAGAGAGCACTCAGCGCCTGAGATCGAAGGCCGCTGCCGGAGCCGTCAGACGGGAAACACACGGTCATGTTTGAGAGGTGTCAGGACTTCAGTGAGAAGCATTCCCACTGGCGCCGGGGTGAGACCCCAGAGAGACACCAGCAGGTCAGGGAAGGTAAGTAGAATTTCTAGAAATGGGGGGAATTTGAAAGTTTAAAACCCAGTGGACGAGCTAACTAGACAATTAGCAGCCAGAGAGAGCAGCAAGCTGTGGGCTGCAGGGGCCGGTCCACGCTCTGTCCCCTCAGGGCCGGCTCGGGCGCCGGGTCCCACCCCGCCCCAGGCAGCTCACCTCGGACAGGCCTTCACACTGCACGTGGGCCTGGATCCACTCCAGGCGGTCGGAGTTCTCCTTCTCCCGCACCCCCTCGTTCACCTGGGAGCACAGCTCCTCCGCCTTCTCCAGGGCGTGCTTCAGGTGGCTGTGGTCGGGGTGGTTGTCCGGAGTGTTCTCCAGGATCTACAGGGCAGACCAAAGGCAGCAACCTTGGGGTGGGCCTGGGGCTGGCTGTCCTGGAGGGCCAGGCCCGGCAGAGGTAGCGCACGGCTCAGACCCCCCGGACAGTGCACACGTGAGCCCTGCAGCTCTGGGCACACACAGCGGCAATGACCTGCAGGTCCCCTTGGGGGGCAGGGGGTGCCACGTTACTTGTCCTCGGGGTATGAGGAGGGCAGTGCTGCAGCAAGGTGACCATGCACCCCGCCCGGATTGCTCCCGGGAGAACGGCTGTGTCCCGGGTCCGAGCACTGCAGCAGGCGTCGGGCACCTCTGGACCTGGGCGCAAATGGGCGTTTCCGGGAGACACTCCTCCAAGCCCGAGGCCGTGGGAGCCAGTCCTGCCGCTAGACCTCGGCGTGGAAACCCCTGCACTGGCCTCGCGCAGCGGTGCTCCGGGGCCGTCGTGCAGGTTCGAGCCTGTTTCCTCACGTGGGGAACGGAGGCGCCAACAGCGCTCCTTGCAAAGCTGTTGGGAGGACGGGAGCACTTGACACGAGCGAAGCACTTTGCAAAGCACCTGGGCTTTAGAAGGTGCTCAGTACGAGAGCAAGTGCTGTCCTGGAGAGCAGGCGCCGCCGCCGTTCAGGGGAGAGGCCCCGGGAACGAGGCACGGCCCAGGTGCCCCCGGACAGTGCCCGGAGCACGCTGAGGGCGCACCTGCCCGGGCCTTGTCCACATGCAAACAACATTCCTCGTGTTACTGTTCTGTGTGTTTTTACACCTGGAAGGTTGTGGGAACCCCGGCTCGAGCAAGTCTATTGGCAGCATTTTTCCAAGAGGCTCAAATGATGGTTGGCATTTTTTAGCAATACAGTATTTTTTTTTAATCCTCACCCAAGTATATTTTTCCATTTAGCTTCAGATAGAGTGGGAGGGAGAGGGAGAGAGAGAAACATCGATGTGAGAAACATTGACTGGCTGCCTCCTGCATGACCCCGACCAGAGTCGGGGACTGAACTGCAACCTAGGTACATGCCCTTGACCGGAATCGAACCCGAGACTCTTTGGTCTGTGGGCCGACGCTATAACCACTGAGCCACACTGGCCGGGGCACAATCAGTATTTTTCATGAAGGCATGCACACTGCCTTTCAGACACGATGCTATTGCACACTTACTGGCGTGCAGTATCGAGTAAACACAGCTTTTACACGCGCTGGGAAGCCAACAGTTTCTTGGCCTCACTGTAGGGTGACAGTCGCCTCGCGGTGGTCTGGACCCCAACCGCAGCCCCTGCAGGTGTGCCTGGCAGACCGTTCAGATGGGCCTCACTCTGGACACTGTCTCGTCGCAAAAGGATACTTGGGTTTAAAGTCCTAAGCAGACACACAAACTGAGAAAAATGCACGTTGGAATCTCTGAAAAATCTCAAAGCCTCATCCAAGGCCGTATCAGAAGCCTGGGGCCGGGACTCAGGGAAAGGAAATTTCCAGAGCTGGGAGGGGGGTGCTGACCGCAGCTGGTGAGGCCACTGCCCCGGGCTGCCGCCCCCCAGCGGGGTCGCATGAACTCATGTTTTGTCTTGTTCCCTTTTTTTAATGTTTTAAGTTTTTATTGTTGAAAGTGTTACAGATGTTCCCCCACTTTTCCCCCAGTGACCCCCCCTCCCTATTCCTACCTCTCTCCTGCCTTCCCCACACTATTTTTTTTTTAAGAGACAGAGGAAGGGAGAGAGAGAGGCAGAAACATCGATGAGAGAGAACATCAACTGGCCGCCTCCTGCACGCCCCCCACTGGGGATCAGCCCACAACCTGGGCCTGTGCCCTGACCGGGAATCGAACCGGTGACCTCTTGGTGCAGGGTCGACGCTCAGCCACTGAGCCACACCGGCGGGCTCCCCACACTGTTGTCTGTGTTCTTGGTTGTGCATATATGCATCTGAGTTCTTTGGTGTATTTCTCCCCACCCCCACCCCCTTCCCTCTGAGGTTTGTCAGTCTGTTCCCTGCTTCCATGACTCTGTGTTTTGTTTTGTTTTAACATGACAATAGGTTTACTAATTTTTCTAATTGTAAGATTGTGCAATGTACAATATTCAGTTATTGAAAAAGAACCCAAAAGTCACCCATAATCTCCATATTTAGAGATGACCTTTGTCTGTATATTTAACATACTCTGTTTATATCCATATAAACATGATTAAAAAAAAATAAAAATTGGATCAGACGGCCAGGTCATTCTGTCCCACTTCCTACATCACTTCCGCCCCGTTTGGTGACATGTCCTCACAGTCCATCATCGTGAAGGCTCTGTGACATGTCGTCGGAGGATGGACCACAGTGTGCTTCCGCTTCCCTTCCCATAAAACGTCATGCTGTTCCCAGGGTTTGGAGATTCCTCTGATGATTTCCTTTTTTAAAAATACATTTGTATTGATTTTTTTTAGAGAGAGAGAGAGAGAAAGATGGATGTGAGAGAGAAACTTGGATTGGCTGCCTCCTGCACGCCCCCTACTGGGGATCAAGCTGCAACCCGGGCATGTGCCCCAACCGGGAATCGAACCAGGACCTCTCAGTCCCTGGGATGACACTCAGTCCACTGAGTCACACTGGCCGGGTTGACTATTATTATTTTTTTAAATCCTCACCTGAGGATATTTTTCCATTTATCTTCAGATAGAGTGAAGGGGGAGAGAGGGAGAAAGAGGAACATCCATGTGAGAGCGACACATCAATTGGTTGCCTCCTGCACGACCCCAACCAGAACTGGGGACCAAACCGCAACCAAGGTACATGCCTTGGACAGGAATCAAACCCATGACTCTTTAGGCCACAGGCCGATGCTCTAACCACTGAGCACCCACCAGGCGGATATTTCTTTAGGGTGCTCTCCCAGAGGCAGACGTCTGAGCCCCGGAGGCCCTGCGGTTGGTCTGCACAGTCTCCCTTCCACCGGCACCCTCGCCGCACCGGGGCCTACGGTCTCCCCAATCCATGCCCGTCTGAGAGCCCAAAACAAAGCGTATCCTGTATAGCTATGACTTCTTTCACTACCAGCGAATCTGAACTTTTTGAACATTCAGCACGTAAGTGACAAAGCTTACGTTGATACTGCTTCGTATGATCCAGACACTTGACACATATTAACTCGGTTAATTCCCACAAGGCTATGTGCTAGGTACTGTTAGGGTCCCTGTTCTACAGATAAGGAAACTGAGGCCCAGAGAGGCTAACAGCTGGCCCAAGGAGACACAGCAGTAGGACCGAGATCCAAGCCAGACGGGGGAGCTCCTGACTGTGTTCTTTACTGATCATGAACATTGCCTCTCCGAAATGTCTGGTTGTGCATTTGGTTAATAGCTTCTTTCAAAAACGAATTCTTGCTCTGACTGGTGTGCTATGTGGTTAGAACATGAGCCTGTGGACCGAGGGGTCACGGGTTCGATTCCTGGGCACGTACCTGGGTTGCAGGTTTGATCCCTGGACCTGGTCAGGATGCGTGAGAGAGGCAACCAATCCATGTGTCTCTCTCTCATGGATGGTTTTCTTTCTCTCTCTCTTCCCCCCTCTCTCCCTCCCTCCCTTCCTCTCTCTAAAAATCAGTGCAGGAAATACCCTCGGGGGAGGATTAACCACAGAACCAAGTCTTTAACTAAGGAGCCAGTGCGGCCACAGGGCATTTGGTGGGTGGGGCTGCTTGGACTGAGGAGACCACTTACGGGAGGGAGACCTGTGGCGGGACTGAGCACGCTGACAACACACGGAGGGTAGGAGAGCCAGGACTCGCACGGGGAAGGAGGTTCGGGGTACACGTGAAGAGGGCAGGAGCCCAGAGCCGGCTCTGTGGCCTCGACGAGAACAGGCTTGGTGTGCACTTGTGTGTTTAGTACACGTTATTACACACACAGACTGATCGTGAAATGGAAACATGTGTGCACACTTATGTGTATGGAAATATGTGTGTTTGTGCGCACGCACACACGTGTTCAGACTCTGCCCTGAGACCCCGCGGCAGTGAACACACAGGTCCACGCCCGGGCCGCGAACTCTCCACGCAGAGGAGGCAGGACTGAAGCCTCCCAGGGGCTGGGCCCCTTTGGCCGCATAACCCCGGGCTCAGGGACACCTCAGTCTTTTCGTTCATTTTAGACGGGGACTCTGAAGTGCTAACTGCTTTTCCGCTTGCTCGTGGGACAGGACAGTAACACGGAGAGGCACACAGGCTCACAGGGGCTTCCCTTAGGCGGCTGGCGGGACCTCGATGTCTCTTTCTCTGCTGAGCTCAAGGCTGGGAGGCACTGTGCCTGCGCCAGGGAAAGAATGGACGTCTGAGCTCTCACTTCCCAACCCACAGGGCAGCGGCCACCTGATCGCGCAGCTGGGGGTCGCGTGTCACTAGCTTTTCCCGGGATCAGCAGCGCCCCCCTCTGTGTTCCCCACATCTGCCTCCAGCGCCCAGAGGCTGGTGGGGAGCTCGCTGGCTCCCTGGAGGCTGAGAAAGCAGCCCTGCCCTTGGAGAGGCGGGGCAGGACTCACGTTTTTGATGAGCAGAGGGTATCTTGTCACCCGCTGCATGGGCTTCAGGATGAAGCTGGAGAGCGGCATCCCTTTACACCGCGGGTCCATCGCCAATCTCTGAAACGAGAGGCTTCTTTTACCGTGTGTGAGGAATGTGCAAAACCCAGTAGGGACGTCGGCACCGACGTCGCGTAGGACAGCGGCACTGATGTCATCACCGATGTCGTGTAGGACAGCAGCACCGACGTCACGTAGGACGGCAGCGCCGACGTCACGTAGGACGGCAGCACTGTGTAAGGCAGGACGCCCCACCCTCGCCGCATCTCCTGTGTCGGAACGGCCGCTGGGGGCATGGAGCGGGAAGGGCCTGGTCAGTTACCCTGACCCAGGACAGGGCTCTCCAGGCGCAGAACCAGAGACCTGCAGGTGTGACTCCGCACCACGGTGAAGCCCTGCTCTCCAGGTCCCTTCCATGGGACTCACGGTTCCTTACAGAAATGAGACTAGAGACTATTTCTGCTGGACATCTGCAAGAACTTCATAACATTCCCAGGAACGAGGACGATCACAGGACTCCAGGGTCAGAATATAAAGGCCCCTTATGTGCCGAGATGCTGGAGGGCTAAATGTCATTGACTGTCAGATGGAGCCCGCCCCCCGGGTGGAGCCTGCCCCCGCCCCGGGGAGCCCCAGGCAGGGCAGGGGCAGTGGAGCTCGGACAGGGGGTCAGGACCCTGGTTTCTGCAGACTGTCTCCTCTCCGGCCTCTTTCTGCCTCCACTTTTGCCAGTTCTATCCATTTATCTGGAGGACAAGAGTCCTTCTGTCCCCAAAAGGCAATCACATCGCTGTCACTGGGCCCTGGGAACTGTCAGCGCCTACCCCGGCCCAGCCGTGGCCTAGGTCACTCCAGGAACACACAAAGTTGGCAACGGCTGTCAGACTCCGCAGGGATGAGGGGGGAAGAGCTGATGAGGGGAGAGGGAGTGGGGGAGGCAAGGGGGGGCAACAAGCCCCCTCCCTGGGCTGGTGTTAGCGTTTCCCTGAAGTCCAAGGGCACCAGCGATGAACTCACCAGCCTGCGCCCCAGGAAGACCCGCCCCCTGGCCGCAGCCCCAGGGGGTCCATGGCACCCCGCAGCCCAGCATCTGCCTCCAGTCCGCATCCCCCGCCCACCCCAGACCGACTTCTTAGCAATATCTGTCCCCTGAGGACGACTTCAGGACGCCCCATTCACTGTTGAGAAACACAGGGGGGGAGGAACAGAGCAAATGCGCGTGATGCTGTGGGCTGGAAGAGACCCCAGCCCCAGGGAGGGTTCCACAAACCTGCCGCGGAGGAGGGAAGGCTGCCCCAGAGGCCTCGGGACGAAGACAAGCCTGCCATCATGATTACTACTTTCTGTCTGTCCATCAAAACGTACTTGTTTAACAGAGCTGCCTTGCTCTCTCTTCTTTCTTTCCCTCTGAGAGAGACTGTGTGGGCTCCCCTGCCCAGCAGGAACCCACCTGGGCCGCCAGCAGCACCCCCAATGTCCCCTCGTGGGCACACGGGTCTCCAGACCCCTGTCACCCCCCGAGGCGGAGCTCCTGGCCCGTCACACTCACCCGCCCCCCACGAGCTGCCTGGAGTCCATCAGAACCAACTGGGGAGAGAACAGAGGGTCCATGGGGAGCGCTGGCCACTCCCTCCACAGGTGTGGGCAGAGGCCAGCAAAGAACAGGGCGCTCAGATGGACCAGCATAGGAACCCGAGCCCGCCAGCCCTCCTGGGAACCCAAGCCTCCGCCCGAACGACAGCGCTCGCACCTGGACCACAGCTCCAAGCCCCTCTGGCCACAACCACACCTGTCAGCCAGGGCCCCGGCCTGTAGGCCCAGAAATACGCACGCACACATCTGCACGCACACATCTGCACGGGCCCCGACACCCCGGCGGCCTCAGGACAGCCCTTGCAGGGCCCCTCGGCCCGGCTGCTCACTTTGACGAAGTCCTTGAAGTCGGGGGCCTCGTCTGTCTTCTGCTGGATGAGGGCGGCCCCGTTGAGCTGGCAGCTGCAGAAGCGGATGTAGGGCTGCATGTGCGGCAGCTGGGCCGTCAGGATGTCCCCAACCATCTTCACCGGCATCTTCTCCCCGGACATCTTCTTGCGGACTCTCAGCGCTCTGCGCGGGACACAGCGAGTGAGACCCCACCTTCCGCCCGCACGGTCCGCCGCACGGAGACAGGGTGCGCATGGGGGCCCCCGAGGCCGCGACAGGTCCGTGTGGGGGCAGGGACAGGAGAGGAACAAGGCTAGCGCTGCGCAGGGGCGTCATCGCGGCCTTTCGGCAAACACGGAATCGTTTGCTCGGTTACGCAGAGGGTCCCTGTGCCAACATGTCACCACAGGTTATCTGGGTGAAGGACCCAGCTGGTGTGGCCCCCGTGCCGAGCCTGTTTCTGGACCAATCCCGCCCCAGGGAAAATGCGGTTGGCAGGGGACACGCAGGCTCGTTTCAGACTAAGTGAAACATAACTAAGTGGTAAGTCAGCTTCCACAGAAACACAGTCCTATGAGTTCGCCACAGCCGAGTACACAGGATGGTCTGGACCATGCGCCCTGTTCGCTGCTTCCTGGCCGTGGCTGACCCGAAGTTAACTTGACAGAGAGGAGTTCTGAAGAGAGAAGCCTATGGCTATGATAGCAGACCAACAGAGCCACACAGTTGTGTCCTGGAAGCCAAGAAGGGACTGGAGGGTTGGGAGGTGTCTGTTCTGGGATCCAGCTGCAGCCTGAGTGTTCAGGGCCATGGTCGCCATGGCTGTGCGTCCCACCCTTCCAACACCGGACTCTAGAAAGGGGCCCTGAGCTCCTACACAGCAAGGACAGCAATGCTCTGTGAGGACAGGATGGCAACAGATGAGGCCATGGATTTGTTCTGCCTACTCTAGTGATCATGGTGGAGGGAGGGAGGGATGGATGGGGGGATGGATGGATGGATAGATGGATAAATGGGGGGATAGATGGATGGATGGATGGATGACTGGATGGGGGATGGATGGATGGATGACTAGATGGATGGATGGATGGATGGATGGATAAATAAATGGGGGGAAGGATGGATGGATAGATCGATAAATGGGGGGGATGGATGGATGGATAAATAAATGGGGGGATGGATGGATGGATAGATGGATAAATGGGGGATGGATGGATGGATGGATGACTGGATGGGGGATGGATGGATGGATGGATGGATGACTGGATGGGGGATGGATGGATGGATGGATGGATGACTGGATGGATGGATGGATGGATGGACGGACGGAACAGAATGTTATGCTACATGATTTTAACATAAGGGTGGGAAGATGTCACTATGAATTCCTTGGCTACCTTGTGGCCATGGTAAGGCTATACAATTCCAAGGAGGCTCTGCAATATTAGTGTTAGGCTTAAAAAACCTCTGGTCAGCCCTGGCTGGTTTGGCTCCGTGGTTAGAGCATTGGCCTGCGGACCAGAGTCCCAGGTTCGGTTCCCACTAAGGGCACGTACCTCGGTTGCGGTTTGTCCCCTGCCCTGGTTGGGGTCGTGTGGGTGGCAGCCACTCGATGTGTCTCTCTCACATCGATGTTTCTCTCTCTCTCTTCCTCCCTCTCTCCTTCCCGCTCTATCTGAAGATAAATGCAGAAATGTCCTCAGGTGAGGATTAAAAAAAACAAATTCAGGTCACTTTTTTTTTCTTCTACATTTTTAGTTAAAGAAAAAAATCCTTGACTGGGCGAGCAAGCCAAGGAGAGAAACGAGGGACAATGCATTTCAGGTCTGAGCGATCAGCAGATGCTTTGTGAGGAGACGTCGCGTTGGCGGCCTGGGCACCGAGAGCGGCAGCTGGGTGCCCGCAGGAAGGCCGGCGGCCACTGCGGAACTGGTGTGGAATAGCACCGGTCTGGGGGACGGGAGCCCCACAGGGGCAGAAACAGGAAGAAATTCCATCATTCCGTTCTTTCCCTCTGAGCAAAACATCCTCTCTGCAAGTACGTCCACACACCCCTCCTTTAAATGATGGGGAGAGAGGAAGAAAGGCCACGAGCAGACTGTCAGCCTGCGCCCCGCCCTCCTGTGCCCGGTCACCCGCCAGGGTCACTGTGGGTCTCCTGGGATGTTCCACGGCACAGACCTGTGAGCACGGGCCGAATGGCTCGGACAGACGGCTGTGAATGACGGTGGTGCAGCGCAGCTCCACCCTTGGGTGAGCCGATCTGTGGTCTCAGATGAAGGCTCCCAGCCCCGGCTGGGGTGGCTCAGTTGGCTGGGCATTGTCCTGTGCACCGAGGGGTTACCGGTCAGGGCCCGGTTGCTGGCGTGATCCCTGGTGGGGGTCCTGCAGGAGGCAGCCCATCCACGTGTCTCTCTCTCTTTCTAAAAATCAATTTTTAAAAAATAAATAAAGGCTTGCAGATCCGAGGCCCTGGACTGCCACAGTAATCAACCAGCCAGAATATTTCCGAGTGTTCGTCTGTCTGCAGACCAAGTGCCCGGACAAGAGAGCTGGCACTTCATCAACCTGCCCCGGGTGGCAATACTCTTTGACTCTATTATTTATGACCCCGGTGACTGTTGGGGAAACCGAGGCATGAGAATGGAATGATGCAACCGCAGTCACACAGCTAACAGGTGACAGGCAGCCCTTGAACCCAGGTGACCTGACTCCGGAGCCCGAGGTCTGTGAGCCCTGTGGGTGGACAGTAGGCACAGCCCCAGAGCCCGCACAGCTGCTCGGGGCGCTGCCCTGTCCTCCCCAGAAGCAGCTGTGTCCACCTCCGCGGGCACCACCCCCCAGCTGACCCTTACCCTCCCCTCCCCCACTCCCAACCCCGGTCCGTTTTCTCTTCCCCATCCTGTCTTTACCCCCAAGATACGTTATCTCTTTTTCCTTTTTTCTGCTTAAAATTGTGTCTACTCTTAAGTTAAAAAGAAGGTGAGCGGAACACTTTATAATTAAGAAAAACACTTTTTGAGAAGCTCTTTCTTTTTTTTCCCACTGGAGGAGGCGGGAAGGGGTCTTGATGTGGACAGTCCCCAGCACCTGGGTTTGTGGGCCCTGCCCTACTTCCGCCTCACCCCTCCAGCCGCCCCGAGGGGCCTGCACCTGGATCTTTTTTAAAATATGCTTTTATTGATTTTTTTAAAAAGAGAGAGAGGAAGGGGGAGAGAGAAACATCGGCTGCCTCCTGCACGCCCCCCACTGGGAATCGAGCCCGAAACCCAGGCACGTGGCCTGACCAGGAATCGAACGGGGACCTCTCAGTCCATGGACAACACTCGGTCCACTGAGCCACGCCGGCCGGGCTGCACCTGGATCTTAACATAAAAAGTTTCTAGATCTTTCTGCCCCACTCTGCTCAGAAAAGAACAGGTAGAAGGCGCTGGAGCGCGTACAGAAACTGGGGGTGCCTGCATCCTGGTTCTGCTCTTTCCGTCGGGGAGGTGGGGTCAGAACCTCTGGTGGGTCCTGGGCGCCCCGCACTGAGCGGCTGGGCACGAGCTCGCACCTGTGACCGTGTGCCGGCTGTCACAGCGTTGCCGGCTCTGCCCGCGGCCCCGCCCCAGCACAGCTGCCCCCCAGGCAGAAGCCGGCAGGAGGACCAGGCCTGGGGAGCAACTCCAGCCGCAGGTACACGGCCTCCTGCAGGCCAGCCGCCTCGGGACACAGCTGCCCCTCCGTCCCCCAGCAGAGCTGCCCAAGCCCAAGGCTCTTCCGCCTGTAGGTATATTTTCCAAAGGAAACCTCGGTGTCTGCTTTAAAAGAACTCGTTCCTCTGCCCTGGTTGGTTTGGCTCAACGGTTGGAGCGTTGGCCCACAGACCAAAGAGTCGCGGGTTCGATTCCAGTCAAGGGCACGTACCTTGGTTGCGACTCTGTCTCCGGCCCTGGTCAGGTCATGCAGGAGGCAACCAGTTGACGTTTCTCTCTCTCTCTCTCCCCCTCCCTCCCTCCCACTCTATCTGAAGATAAATGGAAAAATATCCTCAGATGAGGATTTTTAAAAAATAAAATAAAATAGAAGAACTCGCCTCCAACACAGTAGGTTCAGTACTCATAGGTCCAGGGGCCTCCTCGGCCCCTGCCCCAGGTGACAAGGCAGCTCTCTCCGAGTGGGTAGGTGCCAGCAGGCCCCCGGGGCTCAAGCCCAGGCCTCACTGTGGACCCGGCGCCCTCATCAGAGCCCTGAGCGGTAAGTGCCACTTCCGCCCCCTGTCACAGACGAGGGTGCTGGAGCCCAGGGGACATCAGTGACTTGCTGAAAGACACACAGCCAGTGGCAATGGCTGTCTGTGAGCCCATGTGACCCAGACCCCGCTCAGAACCTCCTCCAGCCTCCTGCTCAGGGGGGGATCATAAAAATATTTCTCTAAAGCCCCTGGGGTCCTCGCCGATCATTTGTCTTCAAGAGCAGCAGCGACTGTCATCTCCTGGCCTAGACTCTGCGGCATAACAACAACTATGTGTGTGTGTGTGTGCGTGCATGTGTGTGTGCATGTGTGCATGTGTGTGCACGCATGTGTGCGTGTGTATGCATGTGTGTGCACGCGTGTGTGTATGTATATATTTTTTTCCCCATCTGCAAGAAAGAGGCGCACAGGCACGTTTGATTCGGTCACACCGGCCGGCTGTGGCTGTGCGGGCTGTCAAGTGTCTGTGACAATGTGAGGGAAAGGGTGTCAGTGCCCAATGACCAGGAGGTGTCTCGTGTTTAGCAGTTCTCGTAGCTACCGCCTGGAAGTCACTGCCTGGAACAGAGGCAGAGGCTGTACAATCCCCTCACGTCGCTCTGAGCCCCCCTCCACCCCGTCCCAAACACACACTCAAGGAAGCAGGGACCTGAACTTGTGAGGACAACGCAGGGACCACGTTTAGGAAAAGCCACTCCCGAGGAAGTGACCGCGGAGGTCAGGGAGGGACCAAGGTCCTGGGCTGCGTCCCTCTGGCCCAGGGAGTGCCAGGCCTCCCTCCCGGCTGGCTGAGCCAGGCTGCACCGCCTCTGGGTTCTAGCTGCGCGTCACAGGGAGGGCCTGGAAGGGACCCTGGTGTTGGTGCAGCCCCATCCTCTCGCGGTACACAGCTAGGGAAACTGAGGCTCGGAGAGGAAGGCAGCAAGCCGGGCTTCACCGCCGGTCTCTACCCTGGCCCTGCAGCTGCTCCCAGAACCAACGTAGGAATAAATGCCAACGACGCACAGGGCGGCTTCTCAGAGAGTCACCCTGGGGAACGGCCAAGGACGAAAGCCCCCGTTTCCACCTGCGGGGGCCAAGACCGTCTCAGGAGAGCAATAGTCGCTGTGGGCCCCGGCCAGGCGAGTGGGGGCTGCCCCACGCGGGGATGGAGCCAGCCAGCGATCGGAGCCTGTGGCCTGGCTCTGGAAATTCTAGAACCACAGTCAAAGCAGAACCTGGGAGCCGGGACAAATCAGGGGTGCGTCTGGGAAAGGGGTGCGCGACGGTGCTCGCGAGTGGGAGTGAGCAGAGGCAGGAGGACATAGGGCGCGTGCGTGGCGGGGACACGGAGGCGCGCGGGGGCGCAGCGAGGCTGGGTTAGAGGGAGTCAGGGGGAGCTTACTTCAGCAGCTTGATGTTACACATGATCAGCTCCTTCCAGTTAACAAAAATCATAGCCCCCTCTTTCTCCGTCAGCAGCTCAGACTCCATCAGGGGTTTCTGAAAGACCTGCAGGTGCAGAAACCGGGGTTCAGAAAGCAGACAGCGCACAACTCGCGGGCGCGCGGATCCGCTCAGAGCCGCCGGAGGGCTGGTCTTGGGGAGGCACTTTCCGAAGCAGACACCCCTCCTCTGCCTGGGGGCCCAGGGGTCCCCATCAGGTCTGCCCTGATTTGCACAGGGGGCGGGGGGTGTCCCTGCAGTATGGAGGACCAGCCTTCAAGCCACCAGGACAAAGCCAGAGCCTCCCACCGGCTGCCCTGCTGCCCTGAGGCCCTGGGCACAGGGGGCAAAGTGGGGACTTGAAGATGCACCTGGCACATGCCCTGGGCACTCTGAGGAGAGCAGCCTCCTGGCAGCCGGGCCTCCAACAGCAGCCCCAGTGACAGACCGCACTACCGGGGTGTCAGCCACGTAATGGGCCGGCCCAAGATCTCAGCCCACCGACCATGTGGTGAGCCCCTGCCCACAAACAGGTCACACCGGCCGCCGCAGGCCCGCTCTCCCGAAGGCCTGGGGTGGGGACAGTCTGTCTTTACGTGAACCTGCCGGAGCCCTGCTACCTAAGCCAATGTTGAGCCTGCGTATACCAGGCCTTGCACCAAGGTGCCACACCCAAGGGTGACACGCATGCCCTAGACTATATATTTAGTGACAGTCAAGTCCCTTGACAAAGGGGCACCGTTGTTTCATTTGCACCGACGCTTCCCGTGTGTTCACAGTGGCTTCGTGGGCCAGCAACCCACCCTGCTTCCTGTCCTCCCCAACACCGAGGCCCGTCTCTCCCGGCTGTTCAGGGAGAAGGGGCTGCTGGGGGGCAGAGGTATATGAACCATTGCTGTACTTTCCCAACTGTGGATCGACCCTGGCGGCCAGCTCTGCACACCTCTGTCCCGCCGGCACCGTCCCCGGTGTGTGGACAAGGGCTCCCTCCTCTGCATCTCCCACCGTCAGGACGGAGTGGCCAAGGCCGGCCCTTCAGGGGTTACCCGGGGAGGAAAGAAAATGAGGGTTCATCTGGGACTGGGGTGCATGGGGATTTGGAAGGAAGCAGGTTCTTCTCAAGGGCAAGATGCAGTCCTGGGAATGGCTCGAGGTAGCAGCCAGAGGGCTGCCATGTCCAGAGGCCAGCCCGGAGGGCCAGGGGTGGCCAGGCCAACCGGCTCCGATCGCTGGCTGGCTCCATCCCGCGTGGGGCAGCCCCCACTCGCCTGCCCATGAGACCCCACACGAGCCCACTGCCCCTTGGCCTGAGTGGTCTAGGCCCCTCTGTGGGGAGGACTCAGAGTTGGCCGCAGGTGAGAATTTAACCCCCTTCTCTGGCGTAAGACTGTCCTGCGTGGCTGACTGTCCAGATGCTCCCCAAACACCTGAAAGTGTCTCCGTCTCCGAATCGGGACCCAGCCTCTCAGCAGGGCCCCCCTGTCTGCACCGCGGCCAGTGCCCCCCAAGCCCGGCACCTACAGCTGCTTTACCTCCGTGACCAGCTGCAGGTCGTTCACGTAATTCTCCTCCGTGACAACGAGCTCGTGGATGTAGCCTTGCCGCTTCCTTTCCGTGGGGGTCAGCATGTCCAGGAGATGAAGGTCCGAGCACCCTGGAAAACACAGCCATCGGGACGGGTTAGCGCAGGTCTGGGGGCGCCCGCGCAGCCGCCGGTGAGGACCCCCGGGCCGTGCTCTCACTTCCGGGCAGGGTTGCGGGTTGACTTGTGTCCCGTGCCCCCGAGACATGTTCGAGTCCTACCCCTGGTACTTATGACTGTGACCTGATTTGGAAACAGGGTTTCTGCGGATGTCATCACATTAAGATGGTGTCACACTCAGTTACTGTGGCCCCAAACCTTAGAAGAAGCTGAGACAGACAGACAGAATGAACGCCGCGTGCCAACAGGGACAAGGACGAGCCTGCCGCCTCTATAAGCCCGGAGCTCCAGGGACAGGAGCGGAGAAGGGCCTGGGGCAAAGCCTGGCCTGGAGCCTCCCACCCCTGACTGTGCATTTCTCTTGTCCGAAACTGAGAAATTCCTTCGGCGGCCTCGGGCCACCCAGCCTGTGGCCACTCGCCACAGCGGCTCGGCAGACGGATGCAGGCTCACTGCGGCCTCACTGGAGCTGCTGAGATGGGTTGAGCGAGAAGACTTCGGCACCGTCGCCATCTCCCGAGGGCCCACGCGTGCCAGGCCCGTGCCGGCTCTGACATCAGTGGCTGTGTCAGTGCCCACGGAGAGACGGCGGCGATCTCCGATTTGCAGGCCAGGAGGCTGAGGCTCAGGGAGGTGGACTCACGAAGGTCTCTCAGCTGGTGGTGGAGCAGCCAAGAGCCAGTCGCTGACGTGTTGGCTCTGGACGCCGGGCCCCGCCTGCCCTAGGACACTGGCGTCGGGTCCGAGCTACAGGCAGGAATTCGGTAAACCTGTGTTGAGGCTCCTGATGGGCCTGTCCCATCAGTGCTGGGTAAACTCTCCCAGACCAGGCTGCTGCCCACGCCTGTGGAAGCCGGGCCGTCAGCCTGCCGGAGAGGGGAGCCCCTGCAGCTGCAAACAGATGCCCAAGGCGCCCCGACGTGGCTGAGGTGGCGCCCACCTTGCCTCTGCTCCTTAGCTGGTTATTGGAGGTTTGGGTGATTGGCAGAGGCTGCCCTGTGACGGTGACATGCACACTGGAATCGGGGGCGGGGTGCTCCATTCAGGAGAACCTCTTCCAGGCCTTTTATCAGGGAGGGTCACCCCTCCCTATTATAATTTTTGTATTTAATCCCAGAAATCAGATTTGTAAAATAGACTGGGAGGTGTCTGTCCTGTGGGGTGATGGGGACAGGCACACTGGGTCCCATTCACTTGTTCTCATCCTTTCTCCCCACAAGGGGGCGCAATGAAACACAGTGTGCAAGCCCCTGCGGGACCAGGGACCAGGCAGCATCAGCGTCACCTGGGAGCCTGTTAGAAATGCAGGTGCCCCAGCCCCTGATGACTAGACTCTCTGGACTTGGGTCCTGAACCCTGTGATGTCACACGTTCTCCAGGTGATTATTTTAGGCACACTGAAGTCGGTGAGGCCTGCTCCGGACTGTCGGGGGTTCTTCCAAGTTTCCGTCTTCCCCCGAGGGAGTTGTCTGGGCTCCTGACTGATCTGATCTGTATGCTGGAAGCTTCTGCAAATAGAACGAGCCCTCGGGGCGAGAGATATCATAGACTTCTTGGTGAATGCTCCACCATGCTGGAGATGACCTCTGGCTGCCAGCCCTCGGTGTGTCCCCACCCTGGCCAAATGCCCCTCCTGGGATGCTGTAGCTTCTCATCCCGAGACAGGACAATCCCAGGACAGGCAGGCGGACGCCAGGAAAGCTGCAAGGCTGAGCATCCCTTCGTTAACACCTTCCACACCCATCCGTCCACGACCTTTCAAGGTCTCTGCAGCCCCTCCACAGCCGCGAGCCGATGCGGGGAGCCTCCTGGCATCCGGACGCCTCTGCTCAGCCGCCAGCTGGGCGCAGCTGCTCCCCTCGCCCCGGGGCGTTGGTTGTGCTTAATTAAAACAGTGGCATCAGCACTGCACCCGGCTACGGAGCTCTGGAGGATGGGACGCTGAGCCCTGTCACCAACCTCTCTGCTCTCCTTAGGAAAGCCACCCAGGAAATATGCCTCTCGTGCGTGCCTGCGTCCTCACCAAACATTCCTGTTGTGAGTCAATGGGCCCAGGGCGAAGGCCATTTCCTGTTCAAGGGCAGCCCTTCCGTTCCAGGGCCTGGTGAGAACCCCCTGGGACTTTCAGGACCCTCTGTCCCGCGGGGGTGTCAGCACATCCGTGGAGCTGCGGATCTAACCCCACCTCGCAGGCAGTGAGCCGAGATGTTTGCAGGGACACAAACACCAGGCTGGACGGGACCCTGGCCTACCAGTCCTCCCAGCGTCCCTGCGGGTCACAGGAGCTGATGGACACTACACTCTGCCCCAGAAAACATGCGTGCATGACGCACACCACATGCACATTTCGCGCACAATTTTAGGGGGTTCACAGGTCCTCTTCAAGCTTGTTCATGGATCTCATTCATTCGTTCATTCGACAGATATTTACTGATGTCCTGCCGTGACTCTGGCACTAACTGTGCTGGGCGCTGCGGGTTGCTGATGCAGGAGGTGCCTGCCCTGCAGAGTACAGCTAAGAACCTCGGGTCCGGTGGCCCACGACCCCCCCAGGATGAAGATGTGCTGCCCTCCGCAGGATGGCCATGGTGCTGCGCCCTCCCTCAAGCCGGGGCTGAGAAGGACTCCTGGTGGTTGGTCATGATGACTGGGGCTGGAATTCGGTGGGCGGACCGACCGCCAGGTGGCCCACAGTGCACAGGTTGGAGGACTGCCCACCCCAGGTGCCAGCAGCATCCCATGGCGAAACCAGCACATGACCAGAAGGTGACAACGCCACCAGACCAGGATCACACTCTGCAGAAGGAGGCTGAGAGTGAGCAGGCAAGGAGCCAGGGGGGACCAGGAACAAGGGCCCATGGGGGGACCAGGAACAAGGGCCCGCAAGGAAGGGTGACAGGAGCCGGCTTGCTCTGGGTTTCAGAAGTTCTGCTCTTCAAGTTTTACACGGTGTGGTTCTGAAGCTCAGAGTCCAGGCTGGATTCGGGCCCCTGGTGCAAGAATCTGCAGTGCCGGGGCCGGTGCCGGGGCCAGTGCGGGGCGGACTGGAGGTCTGCTGCCCACGGCGGTCAGGGGCACGAGGAGGCTGCGTGGTCATCCACCCAGGGGGCCCAAGTCAGAGCTGACGGAGCGAGGGGTGCCGGCGGGCTGGGTGAGCATGGCAGTTTGCCCCAACAAATTCCACCCCATCACACCCCCTACCAGTCAGCTGGAGTCCGGGGGTCACCCCAGAGGGCCTCTCCAAGCCCAGAACACAGTAAAAAGCAGAGATTTTCTGGGGAGATGGTCTCGGCGTTAGGCACCAACGATGCTGGCTGGGAATCGTCTTTCCAGCGACTGAGCTGACCCACAGAAGCTGTTTTTAAAATTCTTGCTGGTAAATGCCAGACCATTAAAGACTTAAAATAGGCACTTTGAACTTAAAAAAAAAAAATCCTCCCTCTGAAAATTGAATATTTAGAAAAACAAGAGAGTTTAAAAGCTCCATTATTCAGAGCAGCGTAAATGGAAAAGTCATTTCAAATAGAAGAGTTTTCTTTAGGGGTGGGGGGCTGTGGTCCTTCCCCCCTCGGGACCCAGGATAAACGAGGTCTGCCGGCTCCTTTCCGGTGGAAGAGAGAGGGCGAAGCAGGTGAGTTCTCACGGGCGCCGCGGTGCGCAGGGATTCTCCCGATGAACTGCGGCCCACTCACAGCTGAGATAATACTGCCACGACTCCGGGAGGTTCACAATGATCCCCAATTATGGCCCCCACAGAATTCCTAACCCATGTGCTGTCCCTTACAATTCCGTACAGTCAGACACATTTGCAAAAGGGACAGGGCCGCCCCTCTGAAAGGATCTGAGTGTGGGGCACTGGAGAAAAGTATGGGAAACTCTCACCCCAAAGGCCAGTTTGTCCCCGTGGTGAGACAGTGTTCATCTGAACAGCATAATCTGAACAAAGCGATGTATTACAAAAAGTATGTGAATGCCTGCTTCTTGTCCACAGCTCAAAGGCTGCAGAAGTACTGAGGGTACAAAGCGAGTGTCGCCCCTCTCCGACCGCCCCCCCGCCCCCATCATTCCACTTTCCCCAGAAGGACCATAATTTTGCAAACCAGGCCGGCCCCACAGTGAGCTGGCCGCTGGGCAGAGCAAACAAACCGGCTGCTTTCCTGTTACCAAAAGGGCCAAAATATACAGTAAGTCGGTCAATAAATATTTATCAAGTTCCTATGAAGTCCAAGAGTCACAGAAGTAAGCAAGATAATGTCCTTGTCCTCAAGGGCACTCTCAGCCCTGGGGAGACTCAACGGGAAAATGAAATTTAAAATAGCAGTGGACCGAGCTGCACGGGGCGGGGTGGGGGGGGCTCAGAGCAGAGGCTCCTGGTCCCGGGGCCCAGCTTGTGCTGGGTCTGTGTGGCCAGGTGGACAGGCCGGGACACCAGGGGTGCGGGGCCAGCGTGCAGGTCAGTGCAGAGCCGCGGAGGGACCAGGGCACCAACCAGCAAGACGGGAGCTCAGCGATGGTTCTTCTTCTCCAAGGGAGAGGATGTACCAGCATTTCTGGGAACATCCAGCCCCTATCCTCTGACTGAATGACTGGGTCAGCAGGACACCAGTTCCTGGGGTTCCGTCTATACTGAGGGCTTCTCCAGGGTCGGCCTGACTGAGGAAATGGGCCTTGGGGCCCTGGTGCACCCACATCCCCAAGGGCTGGCCCAGACCCCCTGGGAAATGAATCTAATGGTGCCGCCCTCAGGCCCTGGGCAGACTGGCACACAGGGGCCTGTCATGAAGGCAAGTAGGTGAGGCCCACAGGGGAGGCTGCGAGGACGGTTCTGTGGTCACAGCACTTCGTCCTCACCCTGTGACAGGTCTGAAGACCCCAGGCTCTGGGCGGTGTCCCTGCCGTGCGGTGCCGGGGCCTGGGCTGAGATGCGGTGCCCACGGAAGCAGGCTGGGGCC